GAGGATCGTAGAAGTGAAATAGTTTGGAAACCTACCTAGCAAGTGACAGAAGCAAGACAGCAACCCATTTTATCTGACACTTCATTAATTTCTCCTTCAGTTACACCTCACTAAATATTTGTTAAGCACAGACTCAGTCTTCATTCAACCAGTTATTATTGAGCATCTATTATATCCCCCACTCAGTGTAAGATTCTAGGGAAACAGTAACAAATGAGATTAACATTATGATGGACACAGGGGGACACACAAAGAAGCATAACATGTGGTCCCCGGCGTGAAAGAGTGTGTGAGCTAATTGTACAGATGAAATACTGAATATTAAAGAAAATGCAAAAATAGAAGTAAACATATGCTATATTCTAATAGGTGGTATAAATGAAAATGCTATAGAAATGAAAAAGAGAAATGGTTATTAAATTTTGGGGTGATTAAGGGAAACTTCACAGAAGCTACAGAACATAGATTGAGCCTTAAAATTTGGGAGGGATTCAAACAGGTAGAAAGGAAATGAAAAGATTTCTTACTAAGCCAGATAAATATCTTAAGCTAAATCATGAAGGGGGAAGTGTAAAAAGCAAGATTCAAATAAAAGAAAAGGAAACATCTGGCTCTCATGGAGTGTTATGCTACATGGAGTTGGAAAAATAAATCGAAGCATAGTCATAACTAGAACCCAAGTTGCAAAGAAAATGAATTCCATTAAAAATACATGAATGTATTTCTTCCTGTGAGCACTGGGAACTATGAAAATTTCTAAGTAACAGAAAAGTAAAGATGTGTAAGACGAATTCTCTGAAAATAGAAAGATCAAGGAGAACACTTAGAAGACTATTAGAAGGGGAAGTGTTGTCAGCAAATCTGCCATAATAGGAATAATAAGCTGATTACAAAATTCTGAATGTCTGTATTGGCAGGTGAGTGCTACTTTCAGAATAATACTTATTTTGGGTACCCACTCTGATTTTCCACCTTGATTGGGTCCTATATTTCTTTGTCTGTCTCCAGAACACAGTTCTTTAAAACAGAAGTTCTGAGTTACCACTGAACCCAGGTTGACCTCTGGATGTAGTAATCACCTGCTTCTCCAGATTTGTGATTTCTCATTGATCTAGGATTGTGAAGAATTCTCTTATTTGTTTGCCAATTCAGACATTCTCTTAAAAAGAGTTTTGAAAATATATTATTCTACATTTCAAAGGGCTGTATATTAGGCTTTTTTTTAAGAACATGAAGTCTTCCAGAAAAGTAAGCTCTAGCTTAAGTTTCAATTTCTTCTTATCCAAATAATAGCAATATATCCATTTCATTCAGTCACCAAAGAATAATGCATTATTCTTTAACAGAACTTATTTTAACTCATAGGTCCTCACTTTTCCTTCATGCTAGAAAACAATCTTGTGATTCAAAGGAAAATCATTCACTTTCACATTAAAATTTATTCTCTCTGGAATAAATTTCCAAACAATTCATGATCAGCTACAGGATTCATTCCCCCATATAGTGTAAGATCTAAAATTAAGGCTTAATGTGTATGTGCTGCCATGACATATGATAAAATGAGAAGGACCTTGAGTGGCCTAATCACAAGTTTTCCTCCCCATTTTGCTCCCATAGAAAAGGTACCCTAGTCAAACAAGTCTCTCTATTACAGGGACCAGTCACATTTCCTTATCCCTGAATAGCAGGTTTCAGTTCCCTGTCGGCCCATGGAATTATTCAAACAAGCCAATCATATCCTCTTGTGGAAACCTGGGGGCACCACACCCTCTTGTTACTATTCCCACAGCCCTTGGTTGTTCATGCTATTACGATTACAACCCCCACATAGCCCAAAATGGCCTATGGTGTTCTTCTCCTTGGACTGTGAGTGTATGTGACCAACAAACTGCAATGGATCTCATGTGTCCAGTGTTGGGTGTAGTGTGTCTAGCCATCCCTGAATCCCCAGGGCAGGAATCTTTCCTTCACCAATGGGGTGAATAGGAAGCAATAAAATCCACTCGTGTCATCAACCACATGACATGCCCAAACATTATTGAAGACACCTGGCCAGCTAAAATTAAATGCTCTTGGCTAATTGGTTCTGAGATATGGTGAAGGCTACCTGAGACCAAACCCCTAATTGCTGGGGGCATTGACCTATGACCTGTATTATCTCTGTCAGTCATCGCTATCTCTTTACATTTTATAATGCTCTTGTTCCCAAGAATAAAATTATGAAATATAAACTGCTGTGGTGTGTCATCAGGTTCAGCCTGTGTTTGGCAGCTGGTCTCTAAGGCTCCTGCCTGTAAATGCAGTGAAAAAACAGTGCCTTAACCAGTTAGTACTTCAGTCCTGCTTACTGAAGTTCAGGCTAGAGCTCTCTGGTCACTGTGTCTAGCGTGGTGACTGTCACTGGCTGCTTGAGGCAGCTATATAGAGGTTGCTTGTAATCATGCACCTATGGGATAGGCCTAAGGACAACACTTCGTGAGGTTTGTAGAAAGAAAGGTGACCACCAACCCACAGACAATTAAGTATGGCATCCCAGTTGTCATTGCTGTTCATTCAAGGGTAGTGACCTTGCTGGTTTCCTGTGCTGCTGCTTCCCTTGCTGCTGTCACTTGCACTCTCCTGACCTCCAAGGGCATCGAGATGTACATCCATGATGGCCTGTGGCTCAGGTGCTGATGAAAAAAAAAAGGGTGGGGAGAGGAAGGAGCATTTGGTACTCAACTGATCTCCCAATGGACAATCCAGAGCCAACATACCTGGGTTCAGCACTGCTGCCTACCCACACACTAAAGGGCCAAACTTGCAATCTTGGGCCTGATGGCTCCCATCTGATCCATAGACAAATTACTTCAGTAGATATGGACCTCAGCTTCAGGGAGATTAACTGGCACTCCTCAGAGGTAGAGATAGACATTTACAAGGGGAGCCACCAAGCTCCGAAGTGTTTCCCCATAACCACCTAGAATGTCTGCACCAAAGGTAATTCTCCAGAGACGGAAACTGAAAACTGCAACTTTACTGGCTAGAAACCCAAAATATTCTCAGGGAATTTGTGCAGAGGAAAAAAAAAAGAAAGCCCATATGACAGAAAATGTGGGGCTGTGGCAGAGGATGGTTTTGATCTATCAAGTCTGGGCTATAGGCCTAGAATTCTTCCTCTGCACAACTCTGATGACTATGTCTCTGTTACAACAAATATCCTAAAACTCAGGGTTATAGGGAAACACCTATGGTACCTTTGTGGTACCATATTATCACCATGGCACTGTTAATTCAAACCCAACTTAAGCCCAAGTCTTTAAATCATAAAAATCAACCATTGCTATGAGGGAGACCCCTAACCTTGATGACACTAATTTTAGGCTCACTGGAGGAAGAAACTTGTAATATGATCAGGGTAGAGAGGGCACCCACGACCACTCTACCACCACCAAATATATCCAGTGACCACCACCACCGATAACAAAAATAAACAAAAAAAAAATTAAAAGCTGTTGACTGAAAAGATAAGTGTTCTTAAATTTGGAGAGTAGAGCTTTATTTCTTATATAGGGTTGCAAGCCTGTAGGCTGGGAAGTGTAGCCTCCAGCAGAAACTGAAAGCAGGCACTTCAAAGGAGGAAAGGTGAGACAGAAATGTATGCTGAGCGGGTATACATATTTAACAGGTTACAGGAGGAGCTATGAATATTCACAAAGCAGGGAAGCATGCATGAGTAATAAGCAAACATGTATGTTATATACGTCCCATGTTCACTTTGGGGTGGAGACATGACATTAAATGTATTACAATTAGGCTATATATATCAAAAATTGAAGCAGAGGACACAAGAGCACTCAGTACACAGCCTCTGGAAACCAGCAGAATCAGTTCATGATGGGTGGTCTCTTACCAAGAGAATGTTACTGAAATCAGTCTCTTGTCCAGTAAAAGCTGTGGTTATGGCTTGTGGGAGGGGTAGTGTGGGTCAGTTAGTCAACATCAGGCAGTTGGTGAGCTGTAATTGTTTTAATATTGCTTATCTCAAGGCCAGTGCTTGTTTAGCTGCTAGAGAAAAAGAAAAAACCTTGTGGCAGTTGAATATAGTTTATTCTTTAAGTGTAGGGGTGCATGACTTAACCTTTGCCTGGCATGGCCTTAGGTCTTGTTTATAATTTGGTATCTTATTGCTACAAAGAGTCTGTTCCATCAGTCTTATGATCTCAACTTTAGCAAAGGAAAGGAAAAAAAATCTGGATATAGGGATAGGAAACCAGCAAAAAATAACTTAAACAAAGGTCCAAAAGTTGATCCAACTAAAAATCCAAAATGTATTAGAATTTTTTTTTCTTTTTCTTTTATTTCAGCATATTATGGGGGTACAGATGTTTAGGTTATGTATGTTGCCCTTGGTCCCCCCCCGCAAAGTCCGTGTTTCAACTATGTCCATCCTTCGGGTGGTGCGCATTGCACTCCTTGTGTATACAAATACCCGTCCCCTCCTCCCTCCTCCCCTCTCCCCCCGCAAAATGTATTAGAATTTATACAGCAAAGATAAAAGGGCACTAATTGGCTTTTGTGCCTCTACAGCATAGGTTCCAAATTAACTTTAATATCTGCTGAAATGCACCAATCGGTAAACTTCATGTCTTTAACCCATAGTGTGACTCAAATTACCATTATGCCTAGGGATCCTACTAAAATTAAACATAGTATCACCCATAATCTTAAGGGAGTGACTGAATATAAAATAGAGGACAAAGATATATGCTTCCCCTTAACCATCAGAACTATTGTCTTGTCTAAATTCCCCATAGTCATAGCACTCATTGCACTAAAATACCCCATAGTGGGTATAGACGCTCTGACCCAATGAAAAATAAATGAAAATGAAAGTTAAATTAAGTCTTTGACACTTACAAATTGTCTTGTCAAAATGGGAACTCATGACTCCCCTCCCTCTGTCCCAAGTTAAAATAATTAATATGACTCATTGTAATTTAAAATTGGGCCTTTAAGAATTAAAACTTGTTATATAATAGCTGTTGAGTGAAGGGGTGATTATCCCTACTGCTTCTCCATTTAGTAGCCCAATTGGGACTATACATCCTGTTCTTAAACCTGGAACAAATAAATGGTACCCTACAGTAGCTTGCCGTAACCTTAATGTCATGGTCCCATACCATTAAGGCCCCTATTCCCAACAATCTAATTATTGAAATTGCTAACTCCATCCAATCAGTAACTGAAAATATTTTGCTGTTATAGATTTGGTTAATATGATATGTTCAGTGCCTATTTTAACAGCCTCTTAGTCACAATTTGCTTTTACCTCCAAAGAGACAGTATCCTATGGCTACCCATGGTATACATCAACATCCTTGCCATTAAACATGATCTTTACAGGCAAGATCATAACTACATCCACCTTTATCCAGGAGCAGAGGAACAATATTACATCGATGACATCCTCCTCCAGGGACATTTGTTTGACATATTCATTAAGGGCATGTGAATACAAAGGAGCCCACATAAAGAAAGGATAGATCATTATCTCACACAATAGTACATGGCCTTGTCACCTCTATTAAATTCTTGAAAGTTAGCTGGTAAACCAAAGACTTTACCCTTGATACCATCAAGAAACAGTTATTAATCTTCTCAGTACCCACAAAGTTAATATGAGTACAGTGTCTTTTGATCCCTTTTGGGTTTTGGAGGCAACATATTTGTTTGCAAGTTTTACTTACTCTCACTACTGTTGTTATTTACAAATTGACCCATCTTGAAGGGGAACTCCTCCAACAAAAGGTTATAAAGTCTGTCCAAATTGAAATCAACAGGTACTACAGTTAGTGTCATCAGAGGCTTCAGCAACCTCATCTCATGCCTCCTGAAGTCTCTGGATGACCTATGATGAGCATAAGTTGCCCACGGCCTTCTGATGCAGGAAACTGCCTTTGCTGGACTTGTACTATATGCCAGAGGAGCAATTACTGGCCACATAATGAGCTTTTCTGGAAATAGAGGGTCTCACAGACCTTGAGCCTGTGATTCTCTGTGCCCAGCTACCCAAAATGCCTTCAGTCATTGAAGCAGTGCCCCCATGAGTTTGGCATGGCTCCTGAGACCTCCTTCATGCAGGATGGAGGCAAACCTGGACACATTCCACCTGTAAGAGGGAGCAGCCTCCTCTATCCTCACTGCCTTGCCGGATACCACGGGGCTGGAGGAGGTTATCCATTTCCCAGAGTCCTTGGCTACCTTGGGAGCTCCTTCGGATGAACTGAATGAATAGCAATGAAGTTCACACACGATTGAGCTCAATGGAGAGTTTCTGCTTTTCATCCCTTAACCAGGATGTCCCTGATAAAGAACAGGACCCAAGCGTCTGCATAATTGGCACACTTCAGGCATTGATCTTAGCACTGGATGCCCTGCCAATTGGTCCCACCTGTTCATTTAGAACTTAGAGTAACAAACTCTGTGAATCTCTTGGTTCATAGATACTCAGAATATAAATCAACTTAACAGATTTCTCTGCTTATACTAAGGCCACAATCCAAGGCCTCAGAAGGATATTCATTATCCCTTTTGAAATTCTAGACACTAATGATAGTTGCCAAGGCACACATTTCACCTCTTAGAACACACAATGCTGAGATATTGAAGAAGGCCTTCAACGGAAATTCAGCCTCCCCTATAGGCTTCAGGTAGCCAGCCCCAGGCAGCCAGTTTGAAAGCCTAATAGGCTTTTCAAAGAACTCCAATTAAACTCACAAAGTGGCAAATATCCCCCTTCCCAGGGTGTCACTATTGACACAGACATTGATTAGTCTAAATTCACACCCCTTGGGGAAACCCACTCTCTACATCAATGTCACACAGGTCTCTCAATTGTCTTTGTTGGCCATGCATGGGGACACTCCTGAAATTCATGTTTTTGATGACCACCTCAAAATGTAGCCCTTTTCCTCCTGGTCAGGTGCCTACTTTGCTTCCTAGGAAAGCCCTTCTAATACTTAAAAGTGTCAGTTATCATCAAGATTTAAACTGATATCAAATCATCAAGGGGTCAATTGTGGCATAAGGCCAAAAATGAAGGCTTGACATCTGATAACACAGGTCTCAAATGGCCGAACCGTAAGTTCCCCTCCTTATTCTGCTTCTACAGATAAGGTCTCCTAGCCAAAAAACCCTCCTCTGGAAGGGACCAGGCCCAGTTTCTGCTCGTCCTTGGATAGCAGATTTTAGTGCTCTTCCTGCTTGCAGAATTATTCGAACTAGCCAATCATATCCTTCCACAGGAACCATAGGCACCTCACCCTGTTAATACTACGAAGGCTGCCTCCCACCACACTGTTGTTCACTCTGTTCCCAAGTGCAACTCCTGTGTAGCCCTGCAGGGTGTGCAGGGTTCTCTTCTCCCAGGCTGTCAGTATAAATGACTACTAAACTGCTGTCAGTCTCATCTCTTCAGTGTCAGGTATTGTTTAGCCCTCCCTCACCAACAGGGTGAATAGGAGATGATTAAAACACCCTACCACCAATACCACTTTTCCTTTCTCTCTTGAAAGGGAGTCTAAAGTATAGGGAGAATGAAACACCAAGTTCACATATGTCCTATGTCCATCCTAACCCTCACTGAGCTGCAACTTGTCCTGTTTCATCAGTGTGCACTGGGATCCGCTGC